GCCCCCAGATGTTCAACCGCCGCCTGCAGAAAAACTTCCAGGCGTTCGCCAGCAACGGCATCTTCACGTCCAGCACCACGGACCCGGACTGGGCGTCGGCGCACGGACTGCTGCCGCGCTTCTTCAACGCCCTCAAGGTCAAGGCCTTCTACGGCACCAGTGAGGCCCGCGCGGCATGTCCTGTGTTGCCGGATCGTGTCCCGTACGCATGCTTTTCCAGGTGCTTGACCGTGTATGGCGTGACGAGCCGCTCATCAGGGTGCTTGAGGTGCGTTTTGCTGCCGGAGCCTGGCCTTCCCCAGACTCGCGCGGGCCGCCGCCGCCGCCCGCCACCGACCGCTGCGCCCTGCGCCGCCGCCCCCCTGCGCGGCAGTCCTTGACAAGACGCGGGTGTTCATGCACGAGTGGTCCAAGAGGGTCGCGGCTGCGGGCCCCGAGGGGGCGCTGCTGGAGCACGCCAACGACTGGTTCGCCTGCATGACGGCCGACGCTGTGGTCAAGGTGCGGGGGTGGGCTCGCGCACGCCGCTTTCGCTGGGAAGCGCTGGAACCAGAGCGGCAGACACAGCTGCAGCCGCACAGGGCGAACCTTCAGTGCTGCTGCGGCTGCGGCGGCTGGTGTGTACCACCTTGCCCCCCCCCTCGCGTGTGGGCTTCCGGCCCGCACGACTGCGTCTCCTCGGCATGCACATGCGCGGCGCATCCTGCACATGGGGTCCCAACGCACACGCTGCCGCGCTTGCGCGCGCGCGCGCGCAGTGCGCCATCGGCCTGGACATGCGCAACGTGGAGCGCAAGGGCGCGGGCGAGGCGCTGCACCCCTTCATCGCCTGCTTCCGCGGCGGCATCGGCGCGCTGCTGGGCCACGCGGACCTCAAAAAGGAGATGGTGGGGGCACGCGCGCGTTCAGAGGGGTTGTGTGGGTGCGTGTAGTGGGTGGGTGAGTGTGCATTTATGTCAACGCGTGCGCCCATGCATGTGGGCGCGTGGGTTGGCTGCCGGCTCATTGCCAGAAGTTGTTGTATGGCGCAGCACAAGCTGCATTGGCTCTGATTACGATCACTGCTGAGCACGGTGAGTGAGCGGCGCCCCTGGTTTGCCGCCAACCCCGTCTGGTGCCGCTCGCCTCCTCTCTTCTGTCCGCCAACCCCTGCTCCCAGGGCCTGTCCTACTACAACCCCCTGGCGTCCAAGAAGGACGCGCTGCACAGGATTGTGCTGCGGCGCCGCGAGGAGGCAGAGGCCATGGTGTCAGACATGGTGGAGAAGACGAGGAGGTGGGGGCGGAGGGGGCTGGGGCCCGCGGCTCTTAGGTGGGAGTTGGGCGCGTGGCGTGTCACATGCGCGCTGTGGCTGGCGCGGTGGGTGTGTCGCAAGCAAGTGCGTGTGTGGAGTCTGCGCGCGGGAGCGATGTGCGTGTACTGTGACGAGCTCAATCAGCACGGCCAGTCTGGTGCAGCCAAAACAGCCGCATCCAGCAAAAGCTCCCCCTCACCCCGCACCCTGCACTCTGCCACTCTGCCACCCCTGCCATCCCTACCCCTCCCCACCCTACAATGCACCCACCCTGTCGCCCCTCTCCCTCTGACCCCAGGGGCGAGATTGGCGATGCCAACTCTGTCATCGGGGCGATGCTGAACGACAAGGCCCCCAACACGGGGGAGTACGTGAGGCTGCAGGCCATCTACGGCCACGTCATCAACCTCATGGTCGCGGGGCACGAGGTGTGTGTGTGTGTGCGTGTGTTCATGTGTCTACGTGTGTGAGTGTGTGTTTGCGTGAGGGCGCTCTTGTGTGTGTTTTATGTGCATGTGTGTTCATGTGTGTCTGTGTTTGCGTGATGGCGGTTGTGCGTGTGTGTATGTTGTCTGTGTGTGTGTGTGTTCGTGTGTGTATATGTGTGTGTGCGTTCGTGTGTGTATATGTGTGTGTGTGTGTGTGCGTGTGTGTGTGCGTGTGTGTGTGTGTGTGTGAGACGCCCGTGCTCGTGGTCGTCATGCGCCGCCTGCTTGCCCCATCCCTACCGCCCCCCTCGTCGCCCCTCCCATCTCCCCCATGCCCCCCCCTCTGTGCGCAGACCACGGCCACCACCCTGGCCTGGACGCTCTACTACCTCTCAAAGAATCCCGCCTGCGAGGCAAAGGCCCTCGCGGAGATCAGGGTGCGCCGCTCCTGCCCCCTCTCCTGCCGCCCTCAGCCCCTGCGCTCGCGCCTGCTAGATCCCCAAAGCGGCCCCTGCCGCGGGCTGTGGCTCGGAAGCCGCCTCTTTGGGGCGGCCCGCGCCGTGCGTCTGGCTGCGCTGGCCTGGCCCTTGAAACCCTGAGATCATCGGCCCAGGGCAACTACACGATCGTGCCTTCTCAATGCTCCGTCCAAACGCAAACGTGTCCTCCCGTTGCGAACCTGCGCCGCTGTTCCCCACCTATAATCAACAGGACGTGCTGGGCGACGCCACTGAGCCGACCGCGGACCACATCCCGCGGCTGCCGTACCTGGAGGCCTGCTTCAGGGAGGCTCTGCGCCTGCATCCCGCCGTCACAGCCATCGCGCGCGACGCGGCCGCAGACACCCTCCTCAAGGTGCGGGTCGGGCCACCACCAGCCCCCCCCCAAAATCCCCCACCCCCAAACCTGCCCCAGCCGGCTTCGCGCAGAGGTGTTGGTGGTACATGGCGGCCGCGACCCCGAATCTCGCGTGCAGCCGTCTAATAGGGCAAGGGCGGCTCCTGCAGCTCTGACAGGAGGCGGCCACAGCCAGCCTGCGACACCGTGGGCCCGCCCGATTCTGGTGCCTTGTTTGCCGTCTCACTCTGCAAGGAATGCTCCCGTGCCTGCATCGCCCTGGGTGGTCGACGCCGCGCGCCGCACCTCCCGAACCGCAGGGCAAGTGGCTGGTGCGCCGGGGGCAGCGCGTCAACATCAACCTGGTGGCGCTGCAGCGCAGAGAGGACCAGTGGGGCGGGCCCTTCGGCGACCCCAGCAGCTTCAACCCGGAGCGCTTCATGCCCGGCGCCTGCGAGGCGGCCGGCCTGCCGCCGCGCCACCCCCAGGCGTTCATGCCATGTGAGCCCGCCGGCGGCCGCGCTGCCCGGCGCCCGCTGCCCTCTGCTGGCCGATTGCGCTGTGCAACCCCTCATCAGTCTCAATGTAATGTGCTACGCCCCCGCCTGCTTGTCATGTGCAGAAGCCACTAGCGCCATCATCACACCCCCAGGCCCGCC